TGAGACCGACAAATGCAATGATACACAACAAGGTGGCCACAATTGTGCCGGCGATCTTGAGACCCAGCCAAGCGCCGTTAGCGAAGGCGTGGAGTGGGTTCGCGGCCTTGTCCTCCTCGTCCTCGGGAACAACCACCTTTCCAGCAGACAGCGACTCCTCCGTCTCGGGATATCTCATCTTTGAGATAGCGAGTGACGCCGGAATAGACATGATGCAGGACGAGACCAGAGCCTGAGCGTTCAAGCCCAATCCGATATAAGCGACCAACACGGAACCAGCAATCGTGGCGAAACCGCAAGTCATAACTTGATGGATCTCGGCCAGGGTGAGATACGGAACGAAAGGTCGAATCAACATGGCGGATTCACCCTGTCCGATAAAAGGAGTAGCTGACGCGACGACGGCTTCGGCTCCGGAAACACGCAGGGTCCAGAAAAAGAAGACGGCAAATTTGCCGATGAACCACTGGATTAAACCAACGTGGAAGAGGAGAGCGACGAGCGCAATGAAGAATATGATAGGCGGGATGACACCGATGAAGAACCAGGGGAGTTTGGGCACGCTCTCATCCGTCAAAAATACAACACCCTGATCGGCGAAACCCAGGAGGGTTCGCGCCAATTCGGAAATGAAGTTGAAGATATCGTAACCTGCATGTGTTCGCAGCACAAAAAGGGCAACGATAAACTGAGACAGCATTCCACCTGTGGACGAGTTTTAGCTCACGTTCCTATGAGAAATGACGCTAGGCGCCGAAGACATTGGTTGTTACCTACCAATGACAGTGTGCCAGGGAATGGCAGAGAACTTCCTCGATGTGACCGACATGATAAAGATCATGACAACCAATCCGAAAAGAGCTTGAAGACGACCAAGCCTGGTGTTGTCGCCAGATTCGGCTGGTACCAATGTGCCGAGCAGGAATACGGCGACTGTTCCGGCAGCAGCAAGCGGCCGGTGCAGAACCTTGGGAATCATCTCGTAGCCCCTGAAGACGGTATGGCGCCATACCATCTTAGCTGGTCGCATGATGTAGCTGACGGGAATCCACAAGAAGATGATGCGCAGGGTGATGGCAAGATAGACAAGGAACGGAATTAACCAGTTCTTCGTTTTGCGAAACTTGATGAGACCGAAGATCCACCAACTGTTGGCGCGCAAGCCAAATTCGCATTTAGCTAGTATCACCACGGGATGAGGAACACCTCGCCATGAAAGGCGAGGAGTGACAAAGTCGAGACTCACGCGGTAAAGACAAGCCAGATGAAGAGGTGGACGAAAGGCCTCAGCTTCCGGTACCACCTCTTGAGAAAGCCGGTGGACGATGCCGGGTCGTTGTGATCACGCGACTGGTCGACGTCGCCCATCTCCTCATCAGTGCCGAGCGAGGCCTTCTCGGCGCTCGTGAAGTCGGCATTCTTCTCATAGCTCTGCACGCGGCTCGGCTGTGTGGTGTCGACATACATGACGTCGTGGGCGTGATTCGTGTGATCAGCAGCGGCGCCGCTGTGGTGAGTATGCTCGTGGCGATGCGACTCCACAGCAGGCTTCACGCCCTCGTGCGAGTTGGCATCCAGGGCCTGACCTTTCTCCACGGGGGAACTCATGGCGCAGCGAGGATTGTCTGCACTTTTAAACCTGCTCAGTTCGCTAGGTTGGGAGCAACTGGCTCGACCGAGGATCACCAAGGGAGCGACACGGTGAAGAGTGGGAGAAAATTGGTTGCGGCCGAAAGGGCTGGAGATCTCCTGTTCTCAACGCGCAGTCGGGAGGAGACGGATAGAGTATATAAGCCAGACAGGGACATGTGCCAAGCAACATCTGCTTCGATGGCCACCCTCGCCCAGCTGCAGCTATCTGGGCGGGCCCGATGATTGGGTGGCTAGCGAAAGTCCATGTTGCTCCCGTATCACTCTTTTCGCCGCTGGCTGATGGCGATCGCAAGGGCTGTTGGTCTAGATGAGGGATAGAAAAACTGGTGTTGGTGGCGCTAAGGCACGGCTCTAGCATGGGCAGACTGTGCAGACATGGGACCCGACCGAGCTAACGGGGCCACTTTGGGGGGGTCTTTTCTAGAAGCGGAAGGCCGTACTGCGTGCGGCGCCACTGAGCGGATACGGCGCACGACTGGGGCAGCAGGACTTTGGGGTAAGGGTTTGTGGCCCTGCCCTGCCAGCTCGCCAGAGTTCCCCTAAATACTGCTGAGCCTGGTTCCAATCCGGTTCATCCCAACCTATAATTCCCATGTGTGGTACAACTACAGGACATGCGGCACAGGTACTGCACCGTGCCATTTTCCTATCAGTGGGTTCGCGAACACAGTCCTAAAACCCCGGAGCTTTTGGCTTTGAGAACAGCCATCTGCAATCTAGCTTCAAGTATTTTGCTATCTCGAATACAGCTCGGCTGTAGAGCACTAAAACTTCTTTAGCGCGCCGCGAATAGAGAGACTGGTCGATTGGAGTGTGCGGCAAACTTTATCCTCCTTCTTAGTTCTCTTCTTTTGATCTAGGTAAGTTACTATATCGAACGCGTAGCGCTTGCGCTGGGGCCATGGTTCGGACCATAGCTACTCGTATGAACTACTGTGTGTATGTCTCAGGGGGCTGTATCCCCATGATTAGCCCACGATAACTGATATAAAATGCAGTTGTTGTATTATCTACAGTACAATTAGATCATCGCACACTGAGTGGGTAGTCAATTGTCAACCTCATCACCGTGTAGTTGCATCGGGGCGAAAGTGAAAGCAAGTCACCTGTCAGTCTCAGTCACTTTTGGTGCTACGATGGCGCTGCCGAGATGCAGTCGATCGCCCGGCCCTTCACCGGTCAACCACCTGCCATTGCCAATGCCTCATGATGGATAGTTGAAGGTCATCTAATTGTTCCACAAGCACCGATCAACAACCCGTTCCTGTACTGCTCTTGAATTGATCGCATGGGCACGTATTTATTTTCAATAATACAGTTTGGAGAAAAACACCGACTGTACGGAGCTCTGCAGGAAATGCAGTTGCAACGAGGCAACAAAAGTGTCAGCTGCTGCAAGCAAGCTGCAAATGCACGCCTCAACCAAGGGAGCCAACGCAATATACACAGCCCAGATAGTTCGCCCGAGTAGAACGAAGTTACGCATCATGATAGACAATAAGCACTGTTACAAAAGACAAATATCTTCCATCGCAAATCTACGTCCTGCATATATTAAAAAGGACATATGATGCGACCGACGATGCGACCCGTTGAATCAAATCGTCGACTGATGTCGCACGAAGCGTGAGCAGCCTGCCGGCACGACGACATACATCATCGATCGTCGGGGGCAATGTGCGTGCGGTCTGCGCTGACGACAGTGGTTCTTGCAGCTGCACGGGGGGCCAACTGCCTCGGTTCTTCTCGGCCAGCCCAGCCATCCTGGTCCAACAGAATGCCAGAGACATGGATCAAATGTGCCAAGCCGTCAACTCCGATGCCATCTATCACGTTTCATTCGACGACGTTCAAGATAAGGGTTGCAAGGATATGCGGCGTGCGTTTATACCAGCATTCATGGAACAACAGACATGAGAAGCGAAGCCAGAGGCAGTGATTCGAAAGAACATATACTGGAACCACGCCATAAACTGAAGCAATTCTCTTGATCACCGCCTTAAAGGGTCTTGTCTTGTCTTGTCTTTTTTCTTCTTTTTTTACCCCTCGCCGCGACAAGACAAAACTACTTCAGTAAGTATGATCCGACATTGTAGTTTTTATGGTTGGTGGGCAGCTGCAAAACCCGGAAGCCCGGTCAGCAATTGAGCATTAGCAATACAGGCGCCAGATCGATCTGCTTGCTCATCAATTCCCTTATTCATTGCTGCCGCCGGTTGTCTGATGTACGATGTCTATCACGCGACACTAAAGTTTGGCTTGAAATGGCTTAGACAGGCGAGACAGGGAGCTAGGCTCAGCTCTCACGGTCTTCAAACCTCCAAGCTCCGCTTCCAACATTGTCCGTTCGGATGGCAACATCAGATTCCCCGCGTCCCCATAGTGGACAGCTTTTACGTAGGTAGGTGTTAGCTGTCAGGGCGTTGGGGCAAATATCAGTTTGCGCATCAACTATTTCCTTGGCGCACGCTTCTATGCGTATTGCACATACCGTACCACATCATGCCCATGGCAATGTTCTGTACTTCACATTGCATTTCACGTGTGGGATCAAGACTTGGCGGTTCCCTTCAGTATTGCATGCAGGCAGGCAGATGTGATCAGATTCACGACTCACATTAGATCGACACTACGTCGATACTAAGGCGAGACGATGACATTATCCACTGCTGTATACCTACATTCGATAAAGTGTTCGCCTTGCCCTCCGAGGTAAAAATTAGCGACATCGTACTGTTATACATCAAGTAATGTCGCACGCGGACTCTTGAATTCTGATTGAAAGGATACACATTGTTAGGATGGGCGGGCAATATTATTGCTGCAATAATTGTCAGACTGTCTTTACCCGCAAGTCATCAGCTCTGCGAACAGCTCGAACAGCACAACAGTCATAAGGCCTGTGGCTGGCAATATCTCGCCCTCTCTCCCTTACATCCAAGACATCTTAGGTAGATACTCAAGGATACCGGAACGAGCATCTCAGACAAACAAACAGGTGGAACCTCGGACGCGGGACCTTATCAGTTTACTAGCCCCTTTTCGTACCTGTTCTCCGTGAGCTAAAGTTAAAGGAACGGAAGCCCAGATCTAATATAGCGATACCCTGCAATCTAGGCGGCCAACTTATCACTCAATTCCTGCTCCATCATAGGCATGGATGCCGTTGTCACATGTAATCATTTTGACATTTACCTATCTAGACCCCTCCCTATCTTCGTTTAATATCCTCATGTATTTATGCGAATTATAGCAACAGGCTCGGGACAGACTTGACGAGACCTTTTATTTAAAGCTCGAAAAATTGGATCCTGATCTCAACAGATAGCAACCCCCCAAAAAACCAACTCCCCGGGAAAGGCTCGAACTTTCAACCTCCTGATTAACAGTCACTGTTCTTCTGTTAGACACCATTGCATCGTGAGTTTTATTTGAAAGGTGCAACTTACGACGCGCTAGCCAATTGCGCCACCGAGGAAACCTGGGTGATTGTTGCGGCGTTGTAGAATCGATTATATTCCCCGCCCCCAAAGCAAAGGGCGTTGAAATCGCTTAGCCCAAGCCTTCAACTGCTAAACAAACATACTACTGAACACTTGATATCTCCGTGCTAGATGAACGTATGTAACACAGAGGCGGGAAAGCCATGGCCATTGTGACTACTTTGAAGTCACACCCCAGCAACGTAGCACTTCGTTCGGTATAGTGTGTCTTGTTACCAGATGCTTGGGACCGATATAGCTCTATCACGGATGCATACCTACCTACTCGCCTACCTACCTACATCGGGAGCCAGCATTGCTGCAGCTTGGGGTGACATTGCATTAGTCTGTCGCTGGTAGGCGAGATCCGTGGTTGACCGAGACGGGTACAATACATATGTCTGGGTGATCGCTCGACACCACGTGTGGTGGGATGGGCTTTCCGTAATCCTTGGCCTCTTTTTCCTATCCAATCTACGCAGCCTTATTACTTAGTCCCAGCAGCACATCCCGCTTGAACCAGATAGGGAGGAGGCCGAAAAAGCGCTCTATTTTGGACTGATTTTAACGGCGCCTAGGTCACGAGACCATGCCTTGCTTGTGTCGAGCCGAAAGAATTGAAGAATCTGGACTGGTCTCTATGTATACGTGTGGATTCTAATCAGTATATCTGCATGACAGTCGAGATCTAGGGCCCAGAGACTGGAGAAGCTGATATCTTAGTGGTGCCGAATACTTCACTGAGCTACCTCACGAATAAATATGTACCTATCTCCCACAGTTTGAGTATACGTCAAAGCGTGAGACAAATGGAAATTCCAGGACTCTTTGAGGTAATCAGTAGCTGCCAAATCACCAAGGTCGCCCAAAGAAAGGCCTACCTAAAATATTGCAAATCAACAACAGCCGGTCTGACAGTCCGCTCTCCAACGGCCTCTTGGTATTCTTTGAAGCCGGATTTATTTCCGCCTCTGCCCCCAAAGGCAAAATAAAGTAATCAGCTAGCGCCCGCGATCGAATCAAATCAATCAATCAGTGACCTGCCAAGTCTCCCGGGGCTCGAGCTAGGTATCTCCGAGAAATCCTTCCGCAATCTGTGCTATCTATCTACTTTACTTTACTTTATCTACGGGGTACGCACTCTCATACTACTACAAATCAAAAACAGAAGTGATGCAGGGTAGCCACTAGACTAGCACTGTATGTATGTATCCTTTGTGAATAAATTGTCGCGTGCACTAGAAGGTTCAGAATTAAGCCACGGCTGCTTCTAGAGCACACGGCCAGGCGAGATTCTGGACTCAGCCAAGGGGCATGTATACAGAGTCTTTACCCCATAAGGGATTCGAAATCCGGAAAGTCTCACGTGAGCGGCAAGGATGGAAGATAACAACTACGAGACCCGACCCGACCACTACATGCTAGGAAAAACATAACATGCCGAGCTCTTTAGAACCTAGACCGTGCATCCACTTAGCATGTCCCCGATACTATTGCTCGAATATATACGAATAGCTCGAGAAATCGACCATTGCCAATGTGCTGTTTGAACAGGACCAAAGAGTAGTTGGGTATTCACATGAATGTACACGAACTGGCTCGAAACATGGACTGCCCTACGTACGTAAATTGCCATTGCATAAATCCAATAGCATGAACATGAGGACGAGGCCACCTCTCAATTATAAAAAAAAAAAAAATAGCAGCAAGCCTAGACCACGAGGGATCCCTTCCGAAAAACACATTTGCACTCAGGACGTGAATCCTTAACTTTTGACTTCACTCAACTATAGGTCAGAAGGCGCCGACGATAAGGTTGGTCGACTTCAGAACGAGTGTTGTACGCGATCATCGCCATTACGCCGGGAGATATTGTGAGACATCCCTAAGGATTTCCTTGCAGGAATTAAGGAATGAAAGCTGGACAGTATGAATATCTCCCAGAACTGGTAGTATATCCTGCCTATATACAATTTGAGTGTACGTGATGGCGTGAAAGCATGACCGACTTAAAATTTCTGGACACAAGAAAGCGGTATCAAGAACGAACTGTCAAGTGTCGAAATTACCTCGATAAAGCTGCTAGTATGAGATCTCACCTTCAAATCATCGGCTTGATTGACTGCAGAGGACACTCGCAAATGCATCATAATATGGAACGTTTGAAGATAAAACAAAATGGTCTGGTGTTCTCAGCACCGGGTATATTCTTTTATGAACCAGCAATCTCTGCCCTCTCGTCTTCCCACTCATCGTCCTCGTCCATCGCCTCATTTAGAGCTGCCTCACCATCACCAGCCAGCCCCTCGCTATCCATGCCATCATCATCCATCATCTCATCAAATAGATCACTATTATTACCATCGAACTCATCATCGTCGTCCTCACCTTCCTCGCCCTCCTCGCCCTCCTTCGCAGGGCGTTTAGCCCCACTAGCTGCTCGCTCTTTCTTCTTTTTCTCAACATTGGCCTTCTGCAAATTTCTCCTGGCCTCCTTCTCCTTCGTCCTCTGGGTCCACCGCTTATCCGTCTCCTGGATCTCCTTTTTAGACTTGTGAATATGGTCATGCCACATGACCTTACCCGAACAGAGACCATCTTCGACCTTTGTCAACCGCAGCTTCATGCGCGGGCCAAGCTCGACAAGCTTCACCTTGCGCCGCTCTACCCTCTCATCGTCCTCCTCACCATCATCTCCATTCTCGCGTGCAGCACGCCCCTTGGTGGAGACCTTTCTCGGCGCGTCTTCCAGCACCTCGACCTCGGCATCGGTGTCGGCCTCGCTCCCGCTCGTGGCGTCCGTCATGTAGCCCTCACCATTCTCGCCGCCGATCATGAAGTCGGCGATATCCTCCAGCTTGCCCAGATTCGGGACGCCTCCTTTTCCAGTGTTCTTCCCGTTCAGGATCTTCTCGGCGGCGTTGAGCCGGCGCAGCGGCCGGGAGATTCCGGCGGCCTTGGTGGTGATGGCGAAGTGGCGGAAGTTCAGGACGAAGGTGCCGTCATCCTTGTCGGTGGCCTTTTCTCGGTTTATGAGGAGCACCCGCCGTATTGACTTGAGGGGTGTCGTCTGGGGGTTTATGCGCGGGAACATGGATTGGAAGATGGTGGTCGTGAGGGTCTCGAGGTGTTTGGGGACAGCGGAGGTGGCGTCGGATCCGGGGGTGGATATGTTGTTCATGATCAGCTGCAGTGACACAGATTAGCAATTGTCGAGAGCAGGGGCAAAACTCGGTTTTCGTTTTATGTGTGTGCGATGCGTACCAATGGAGGCGTGGCATACTCCTTGCCACCACCGCGCGGATGCCGCAGGGCGCGGCGCACATCTTTGCATAGAGAGTACTTCTCGACTCTGAAGTTGAGGGTGGGGCCTCGCGGGGTGGTGGCGACGCGGAGATTCGTGTTGCCGGAGTCGGATCGCGAGAAGAGCAGGAGATGGGTGACGCCCAGCGGACCGGTCATGGTGACATAGTCTCGCAGCCTGTTTGCGCGGCGCTCGCGGAGCCGGCTGGCGGTGCCGGGTTCCATGACCATACGGACGTCCTTGGCTAGCTGACTGACGCTGGAGCCGACCTCGCCGGCGCCGATGCGGATGACCATGCTCTTGGGGTCCACGATAGCTTTGCGGCCGGTTGGGGCCGCCTGGTGCTTTGGGTGGCTGGCGCCCACATGGGTGCGCTTCTTGGTGCGCGGTTTCGCCATATTTGCTGTTCGTGGTGACTTCAACAGTAGTGACCAATGTTATTTCCCACGGATAATATAGCGATAGAAGTGTGAGCGCGAAAGGGAGGCCAATTGGCTCAGATATTCGACTGAGCTGGGGCTATGATGAGCTGGTTGAATGTCGAGAATGATGGCAGGAAAAAAATCATGTACAGCAAGTACTTTGTAGACGCCGATAAGACAATCTTGGAACCTTGGTGGGGCGAGATGGGGCATATCCGCTGAGTTAGATCATCATCTTGCCTCCATACAGATTAGCGCAATGATGCTGCAGCTGACGCTAGCTCATTCTTAGCTATGAGGCGGGGCTGCCAAGTCCTACACGCTCCACTACTCTTCTTATCTGATATCTTATCCAACTTTTCGACAATTCAACATCTGAGCATCGCGACACTTTAAGCTCCAGCATAATACCCTCACAACATACCTACCATTCTGGGCAATTTGCGCATACAATTTTCCACTTCGAGCACCCAAGACCTGCGCGACTACAAAAGCATCGATCGAGCTTCTGATCCTCATCCAACATGGCGCCCGTTATAAAAAAGCGCAAGGTAGCGCGACCCGAAACCAGCGATAAGAAGAAGCACAGCGACGATGAAGCCCCGAAGCCTCCCAAGCAGACATCTTCTTCCACCGACTCAGCTACCCTAGACGAAGACACCGAAGATATTGTCAACGATGACACTGTCGCCGCCGCCGAAGACGATCGTCCAAAGTCCTTCAAAGAATTGGTGGGGTCATGCTGCTATACCTCTACTCGTCACCCGTGAGCTAACACGCCTGGTTGTGTCAGGGCATCGTCGACACCCTCTGCGATGCCTGCGTCTCGTTGAAGTACACACATGCCACGCCTATCCAGGCAAAAGCCATCCCCGAAGCCCTCGCAGGCAGGGACATCATCGGTCTAGCAGAGACCGGCTCCGGAAAGAGTGCGACATCCTCAATTGCTTCCTAACTACCATATCGCCACTAACCCGACACCAACAGCCGCCGCCTTCGTATTACCAATCCTGCAGGCACTTCTCGAACGCCCTTCACCGTTATATGCTTTGATATTGGCTCCTACTCGTGAGCTTGCAACTCAAATCGGCCAGCAGGTCGACGCGCTGGGATCCACCATCAATGTTCGCAGCTGTACCATTGTCGGAGGGTGAGTGATTGGGTCTCTTCCATGACCACACTAGACAACACCTATCCGACATAAGCCGTCCATCTATAAATTGAAGAAAAACTGGCTAACTTCTGATGCGAAAGCCTCGACATGGTGGCT